CCAAGCCGTGCGTGAGAGAGGACGTGTGTCGTCCCAGCCGTGCGTGAGAGAGGACGTGTGTCGTCCCAGCCGTGCGTGAGAGAGGACGTGTGTCGTCCCAGCCGTTGCGTGAGAGAGACAGTGTGTCGTCCCAGCCGTGCGTGAGAGAGGACGTGTGTCGTCTCGTCCCAGCCGTGCGTGAGAGAGGACGTGTGTCGTCCCAGCCGTGCGTGAGAGAGGACGTGTGTCGTCTCAGTCGTGCGAGAGAGAGGACGTGTGTCCGTCCCAGCCGTGCGTGAGAGAGGAGCGTGTGTCGTCCCAGCCGTGCGTGGAGAGAGACGTGTGTCGTCCAAGCCGTGCGTGAGAGAGGACATGTGTCCGTCCAGCCGTGGCAGAGAGAGAGGACGTGTGTCGTCCAAGCCGTGCGAGAGGAGAGGACGTTGTGTCGTCCAATGCCGTGCGTGAGAGAGGACGTGTGTCGTCCAAGCCGTGCGAGAGAGAGGACGTGTGTCGTCCAAGCCGTGCGAGAGAGAGGACGTGTGTCGTCCAGGCTGCGAGAGAGAGGACGTGTGTCGTCGCAGCTGCGTGCGAAGAGGACGGTGTGTCGCGTCCCAAGCCGTGCGGAGAGAGAGGACATGTTCGTCCCAGCGCGTGCGTGAGAGAGGACGTGTGTCGTCGCCAGCCGTGCGAGAGAGAGGACATGTGTCGTCCAGCCGTGCGTGCGAGAGGACCGTGTGTCGTCCCAAGCCGTGCGAGAGAGAGAACATGTGTCGTCCCAGCCGTGCGTGAGAGAGGACGTGTGTCGTCCAGCCGTGCGAGAGAGAGGACATGTGTCGTCCCAGCCGTGCGTGAGAGAGGACGTGTGTCGTCCCAGCCGTGCGAGAGAGAGGACGTGTGTCGTCCCAGCCGTGCGAGAGAGAGGACGTGTGTCGTCCAGCCGTGGCGTGAGAGAGGACATGTGTCGTCCCAGCCGTGCGTGAGAGAGACGTGTGTCGTCCCAGCCGTGCGTGAGAGAGGACGTGTGTCGTCCCAGCCGTGCGTGAGAGAGGACGTGTGTTCGTCCCAGCCGTGCGTGAGAGAGGACGTGTGTCGTCCCAGCCGTGCGTGAGAGAGGACGTGTGTCTCCCAGCCGTGCGCGAGAGAGGACGTGTGTCGTCCAGCCGTGCGTGAGAGAGCACATGTGTCGTCCCACCGTGCGTGAGAGAGGACGGTGTGTCGTCCATGCACCGTGCGTGAGAGAGGACGTGTGTCGTCCAGCCGTGCCGAGAGAGAGGACGTGTGTCGTCCCAGCCGTGCGTTCGAGAGGACGTGTGTCGTCAGTCGTGCGTGCGAGAGGACGTGTGTCGTCCCAGCCGTGCGTGAGAGAGACGTGTGTCGTCCCCAGCCGTGCGTGAGAGAGGACGTGTGTCGTCCCAGCCGTGCGTGAGAGATGACGAAGAAGAAGAAGAAGAAGAAGAAGAAGAAGAAGAAGAAGAAAAAGAAAAGGAGGAGAAGAAGAAGAAGAGGAAGACGGAGAAGGAGAAGAAGTAGACGAAGAAGAAGAATAAGAGGAAAGAGACTAGAGGGAGCGCCTTGCACACCTATGTTAAGTTTATTGTTATCGTGTGTAATAGCTGTACCCGCTGATCATTGCATATGTGCGTGCACGCGTATATTGACGTTACATCTTACCGTTTGTAGTACCCGCCTATCGTTTTCATTATGGCATAACCGTAACTCACACACTGTAAATACACGGAGTTCCTTTTGTATA